TTTCCTCCATTTCAGTTGTCAAACCGAGTCTGATTGAAGCTCAGTGCGGATAAATTGTCCTGTCCTTCCTTCAGCCCCTCTTAGAATCACCTCTTTGCGCTGCTCTTCGTGCGCTAGATGTTTTCCCCTTTCCCTCACTCTCTGCTTCTCTCCCGCGTAGCAGTCAACTCCGGGAAGGGCTCCTTTTTATTATTATTATTTTTGAACAGGCAGGAATTCTTCCTCCCTTCAAATCCCTGACCAATGAGTCTTAGGATATGTCTACACAACAGAGGGGTTTTTTTTTTCAGAAAAACAGCTGTTTTCCCGAAAAAACGTCACTTATGTCCACACTGCAATCACATTTTTTCGAAAAACAAAAAATCGGAAGAACAGAGGGGTTTCCCAACTTTAGTAAACCTCTTTCTACGAGGATGAAGCCTTTTTCCAAAAGAGCTCTTTGGGAAAAAGATGTGTGTGGATGGGGAAGAGGGAGTTCTTTCGAAAGAAGAGGAAAAAGCACAGGTGCCCTGGTGGCCACTCCGTCCATAGTAATCACAGCCTAAATGCAAGATAGCGTCCATGCAGTGTGCGCGCTATCTGTGGAAAAAGCAGATGGCTTTTTCAATGTGCTTTGGCAGTATGGATGCTCTCTTTCGGAAGAAGTTTTTCCGGAAGATCTCTTCTGGAAAAGCTTCTTCCAAAAGGCGCCTGCAGTCTATACATAGTCTTCGTCTGGAGGTGAGGAGGGGCAAGAGTCTCTGTCTCCAGGGCTACCAATTCCTGCCCCGTTTCTACACACAGGCTATTAAAAAAGCTTTCGCCTCACTCCTGCAGCATGGCTCATTGGCCTCAGGACAGGGGGCTAAGAATAGAACTTGCTTGTGTGATACACGGGGTCCGGTTTCCCTGGAGGAACAGCTGCTGGTGGGCTGATAGCTCATCGGGGACCCCCTCTTACTCGGGGGAAGCATGGGACCAGGTTGCTGTGGTAACCGAGAGTGCACATCCGAGCCGCTGGTGGTGGTGAAGCTGGGAGGGGTAAAACGAGAGGAGAGGCAGAGGTGTCAGCCAATCCTGCACGGCCGGGGAAAGGGCTTGCCGGCAGCATGCCACTAATGTGGGGATGCTGATGTGGGACTCCCAGGGCAGTTTGGAGGCTGGAATGGGGGTCAGACATTAGGGAGGGCTGCCCCAGTCCCTGCCCCAGAGACCAAGTGGGGCAGGGGCTCTCCATACACAGCTGGCTCAGGGCTGTACCTGTCCCCCACGCCGACCAGAAGAACCGCTTGTCCCTGCTGAGCCAGGCAGTTCCGGTGCAGCTGCCGAAGTGAAGCGTGCAGGGTGTGGATGGCTGGGTCAAGCCAGGCCCAAAGCACAGCACGATCAGCCTGCCCCGGGCAGAGGTGAAACCAGCTGTAGGTCATAATTTTGCCGAGTAGCTTCCAGAGTCCACTTGCTGTTGGGGAGGATGGAGGGGGTGTTGTGAAAGCGCCGGGTGCCAGTGCGAGGTGGCCTGGTGCGTCTCCAGCACCCCACAAGTCTGACCAAGCGTGTCGCTCCTCAAGCCAAACGTTTATAATACGAACCTGACGTACGGCGCCCCCTGTGCTCCATTCCGGGGGTTCTCCGCAGCCGAGGCAGCTCATCCATGCCACATCCTGTGATGACTTTTTTTTACCACGAGACACTCAGACCAAGGCCACCATCGTCCTTCTCACATGCAGTGTCATCGAACCTCGGATTGCCAAATGGCTAGTGGACTAGCACCGCTGTATGGAATGTCCCCCCTGCCATGACCCACCAGTGTTACTTCATGTTACCCCTTTTGTGCGCTCTGTTACTGCCCTGGCACTGCCCGAGGAATAGGCTACAGCTGAAGTTGCTCTTTGGGTGTGGAACATTGAGCTCTGTCAAGGAGGGTCTGTCCTGGAACCACAACAGCTGGAGATGGAAAGATCACTGAACAAGTTACGCTGGGCGCAAAATGTGTCTCACACCCCATGCAAGTTCCTTTGCTTTGAAGCTTCAGAAAAACATTCCGGATTTGGTCAATGGGCACGTTTCATTCTGACTGTGAGCTTTTTATTTTACTTTTTTTCGGATATGAATTGACTAAAGAGTTTCAGAAAATTGTTGGACCAAACAACAAAACTTTACATC